TTCCTCATTCCGCACGAACGTCAGCGTGCTCAATCCTGCCATCAGCCTGCAGCCTTTCTACCCTTATTGTATATCAATCCCGATATCGGGGCCCTTTACCTATTTCTCCCCTCTTACACGCTGCCCGTCCGCTCGCACAATGCGCCTACCTCGTTCGCTCTGAATATGCCGCTCAGCTTTCCATGTAGGCTCGCCGGCGTCTGGCTTCGGCTCTACCTTTGAATGCCGACTCTAACGACTCCTACGTGGTGAAGACCCAAGATTATTGCCTCAAATCGCCGCTTCCCTTACGTCCGTTCGTATTTTCGGTTTTGAGGCCTCGGGGGGATGTCGGCACGCTTGGGAAGTATGGTCAGAGGAAGGGCGGTCAAAGCAGCGCGGTGGTCCGAGCCCTGTAAACGGTTTCTGATCTGAAAAGCTACTAGACTTATTCCTTCCCAGTCCTCAGCCTCCAGCTCTAGACTCTCTATCGTCCACCGTCCTTATCTCGAAAACCAAGCCCCTCCATTCCTCGACCCCGCCCTTTCCCCGAAATGTGTCTAGAATCTCAAATCTGAATCACCCGAGACACTGTTGACTTTTTGGGGGGTTTAACCTTTGACGTTGAGTCTCGACTCTCGTCGCACGAGCTTCCTCGGCAACCGTATCTTTGACCAGATCTTGGGTCTGAGTCTCGGCCTCCCAGTCTTTTTCCAAGCGAAAGACGAGACGAGTCTAGTGCCTCGCAAATCCTTTCTTCTTGGGAGGCTCGGCTTGTTCACCATACGGAGTCAAGTTAACTCTCGGGTCTTTGAACTTTGGTATTATCATCATCATCGTCCATGAATCATCCTGGTCGATCCCCACGACGGTTTCCCAGGGCCGGAAGATAGCCGGTGTTCGGAATATCTTCCGACTCGGGGAGAGGATATTATGATCTTACAAGGAGTCAAGATCAAGCACCAAAAAACCAAGAAGATGCCAACGTGCGTGATTTGTTCGACGTCGCATCGTCATTTACGCCGGAGGCATCATCGGCTTGCTGCTTTGTCCTGGTGTCCGCAGTGACCAGTCAGAGAACAAACGAGGGTTCTTTCTATCAAGAGTTCTATCGAGCGTGCAACGTGTGGGACCCGATATCGCTCATGGCATCAACGAGACTCCTTCGTTTCCATTTCTCTTGATTCCAGTCATACATACTACCGCTCCCCAGGTCGGTGACGCGTTCCTTCATATTACGCAGCCGCCAACGAACTATTGAAACCAATCTTTCTAAGCCCCAACTTGAACTTGCTTACATACCTTTTTCGGGAGTTCCCCTCGCTCGCCCTGGATCCGGAGTCAGAGTCGTGGCTCGTAGCCTCGTTTTCCGACACGCTTACCCTTGTTTAGTTCCCACTGCTATGAGGGCTAAACCAATCTTACCCGCTTACTCTGTTGAGTTTAGTATTCACCCATCAAAAACGACGGGATTGCCTCATTCATCGAACTCAGCTCTTCGTATTACACCTCATCACTTCTACAGCGACGTACGCTATCATCTCGTTGTTCAGTTGTCATTGTGTCAATGTCCCCCCCCCCCGACTCTCGAATCCTTGATTTGGATTGTTTGCCTGCCGCTACCGACTCGCCGTCGCTGATGACTTGCGAACAGTAAGCTCTCTTGGCCAATTCATTCTTGCCAGAGTCCTACGCAGACGCCGTTTGTCTGTCCGAGCGTTCCATTGAATTCGTCGCTGATGAACAGCTGGACTAGGACAGACGAGTCTAAAGTCATTACCTGTACATGTACATGTAGGTTTTTTTGGCCTTGGCTAATTGAGAAACTCATTTGGCGCCTGGAGTCAGAAGGGGGGGGGGATCCCCGATGAGGATGGTGGTATCGGACCTCGCGATGATGGTGGTGTTTCCCAGTCTGAGTTGAACGTTAAATCCCAGTGAAAATTGACATAAATTTAGTCACATTGTCTGATATTGCCGACTATTGAAATGTGATATGACGCTATTTCTGGGCTATTTTGAGTATTCCCAGCTATTCTCTCGTATTCGAGACACAGATGTCCCCGGCAACGGCATCCTTTGAGTGTTTTGAGCTATTCTCCCATATTCCAGGATAGAGTTGTCTCCCCAGCAATGGCATTCTTTGTATGAGTAATACAAACAGGGTTCAACGTAACTCAGGGTGGACCAGAGACAAGCTCGCCGTTGTATTAGCCCAAGGTACCCACCTACCGATTCACGACATATTGTCTGATATCCTCCAGAGACCATCCTAACTTAGCTAGAATGTGATAAGTATAACACTGCCAATGGGTGTACTTGCTTTTACATTATCTTGGGTGACAGTACATTCAGTCTACCATTTTAGAGCATAAAGATGAGGGTTAGTGAGATTGAGAAGAGAATACCGAGGCTAGTGACAGTTGTGATTGTCATCGTCGTTCAAACATTGGTCGTCGCCGGCGCTTGTATTCACGTATGCGTGAATATAGGCGCCAGTGAGCGGCTCTGCCGGGCGCGAGTCCAAAATCGTTCAATTTGGACACAGCCACCTGCCAGCTCACTCTCCTCAAGACTACGACCACGACCCGAAACTAGATTACACCATTTCAGTAAGTTTTCCCCTTTCCATTTCCTAGTGTCTTGATATCCTATATCACTATACTGATCTTATTTTATATATTATCCAGAAGCTGTGTTCGGCCTCAAATATGAAGGCAAGCAGGTCAAGTCACGATTTTTTTGTGTTGGAGTCGCTATTGAATTTGTTAGTCTCGTGTGTACGCGCACGGTGAGTATCCCTAGTCTCTGTGCCTCAGATCAACCTGATTGATTCAATTGTTTGATAGCTGTCACTCATCACAATGTTTCTTTCATTGAAGGCTATAAATCGGCTCTCGAAGTTCCCTGTTCCCTGCCCACTCGTTGACTTCAGCCATCGAATACCCGTAGTCAAAACCTGTTAACCAACTGCAGGCAGTGACCGTGTGCGCATGCACCGAGAGTCTCTCGGGATTTCTTTGGGGTACGTACACTTGCATTATAATTTGTCGCTACCAGTTTCAGAGTACTAACTGACATTTGGACATTCCATAGTTTTTCCTACTATCCCGGGCATGGAAAGTACGTATGGCAATGGAGAGAATCCCTTCCTTTGAACTCAGGTATGTCATCTTTCTCTTACTTTGCATTCAGGTAGCTCACAATATCTCGGACAGACGGTTGGCTGTAAATAGAATGGCAGCGCGGCGGCGGTACCTACTTGAATACTTCTCGTCGGTCTATTAGTACATCTCACATACGTACCATCCCCGTAGTCCTTCATATTACTGTTGTACCGTATAATAGGTGTTAATTGAATTCAATTTCTGGCAATAGCTCAATGTGCATAGTGCGATACAGTGATACTGAGTAATATCTAGCAATACACGAGAATAGCCCGGTCCCTGAGCCCTACCATTCGTTCATTTTGGTCCATAATGGCTGTAAATAGCTGACAATGCGAAAAAAGGTCCCGTTTTTCCTATTACCAGCCATTGTCAGACAATTGCGAGATATTTGGGTGAAACCCCTCGCTTAAAGCCTGGGAATAGCTGACAATTGCTGACAATGCGTCATTTTGTATGTTCATTTTCACTGGGGTTAAATGCTCAAGATGATAGTGGTGGTACGCGGCCCCATGATGATGGTCTGTAAAGTACGGGTGACTTCTGACTCTGTATGGGGCTTACTTGTTAGCTTATCTGTTCTTGCTCCAGTAGTTCAAGTTGTACATAGCCCGAGTCCCCACTCGGGGAGGGGGAGAGGATCGCTGTCGTTCAAATCAAGAGGTCTCGCCGATTGGAATCGCGTACATGGGTCCAGTCGCGTGGGCGGCGTGAGAATTTGATATCCGGGGCTTCTGTTGGCAGCGGCGCACACGGCACGCCACTTTCTACAGCTCTCTCTGTCCCCTCCTCATGTCGCTCCAATGTCCTTATATGTCGCAGAATGGATCGTATATGTTTTTCAACCTACAGACAAGAAATGCGTCACAGGCACAGTTATGGTTGTACTGAAACCTCGAGAAGGTTAAAAAAATCGCTCTGGCTCTGGGAACACGGATGTGGTGGGAAGCTCTGTTGAGCCCAGCTATATGTCATGCTAGCTACCTTTTGATTGTTTTCCTGTGGTACTGTAAAATACAGGATGATTTTGGTGTCGTTTTGTAGGTTTTTGAGCACGGGGATTTCACTTAGACGGTTATCTCAGCGAAAATTTCAATGGTTTATCAAGTTCAAGTAGTCTATTCAGTTTGTGGCGGACAGCTGTCAGAGGGGACCACCCCATGCCGTACATGTACTCGATTCCAATCGGCGAGACCTCTTGGTTCAAATCCAGATTAGAAATTAGGTTCACACAACTCCACCCGTCGGAGTGAGAGAGCTCCTTGGCTTTTTTTCTTGGGCTATTCACTAGGCTAAGGTAGTAGGTTACTATGCTAGGGTCGCTAAAAACGATATTAATTGAGCGATGGGTATGTTCTTCTTCGGTTTCACTACCAGGGACAAGGGGTCAAAAGTACGTGAGTCGCCACAGACTGTACACAAATTCGTTCAAGGCGTTCATTCTTGTAAATGAACGCCTTGACGCGACACCACATACTCGGTAACGAAGGAAAGGGGGGAAAGTCGAGGAATTTGCCGAGTCAATCTCGACTAGTACCGATGTTTTCGTCCAGGTCTGTACCTGAGTTCATCGAAGGCATTTGACGGTGCGCACTGGGCGGGGGGTAATGTAAGGCAAGGAACTTGCTGCCAAAGGGTACTCACAATTAGGCTTCAGTCAGACAACTCCACGATTGCGTCGAGTGGGGGTAGGAATACACCGACTTGTTCTTCTGTGTCGACGACGTCAATTATCGCAGACGACTAGTTTGGGATATTTCCTTCATCTTCGTTCGATCCACCGCTGAGGTCGTCTTTCTTGTTAAAGTCGGCGGTTTGAGGCTTCACAAAGCTCCTCTTCTACCTGAATTCAACGTGCCCGTAACTCAGTGGTAGAGTGTGAGATTGCAATCAAAACGCCCAAGCGTCGCACCAATTGTAATATCTTGAAGCCCCGTGTTCGACCCACGGCGGGCACTGTATTAATCTTTGGATGGCCCAAGGTCATTGTAAATATCTTTTTTTTTCGTTTTCTCTCTCTCCTTCTCTTTTACTGGCCACTGACTAGCGACACCTTGCATTTTTTGTAGTACTTCGAAAACCTGGGGGGGGGTGCCGGTGAGGACTCACAACTTACCCTGGGTAACAGGCCCCTATTCGAAAGAGCTTTTTTTTTTTTTTTGAACGCCAACCACCGTCACGATTATCGTTGTTGTTGTAATGCCCTGGCCATTCGACATCAACAGCCCCCGTTGCTTACGACGAGTATGTCGAGAGCTACGAATCCTCGCAGACGAATCAGCTCCTATAAACCAAACCTTTTTCGTTTTTCCCTCACCCTCACCAGTCCTCCGACCGACACTCAAAGTCCAAACCCCGACGTCCAATCCCAAACCTCCCCCTTCGGAGTCCCAAACGTCGAGATATCTTTGGTCCAAACCGATTCACACACACACATGACCACTGGTTATCACGATTATACCCATTCTCAAGTGTGGTTGGCCAAACCCAAAACCCACGGATACGGAGTTTGTGGTTAAATTCATCATCCCATCGCAAAACCCCATTCGCAGGTCACGACAACGTTCTCAGTCTGTGCTAGCTAGGTACCCAGAGGATATGGCGAGGATGGAGACACCACGCTTTGGGATTTTCAGGGGGTGGAGTGTTCCGTATTTTTTTTGGGTTGCATAGGGATCAGGGAGCCTGGTTCGTTCGGAAGATGTAGAGAGAGGCGTCGGATGTCAGACTCGGAGGGCTCGGCGTGGTGCTGGACGCGCGTAGGAAAAGCGCAAAGAAAACTCGAACAGGTCCGCGAGGGTCTCTCGGTGGTGGGTTTGAGTTTTTGAATAGGGGGCCAAATTCGGTCCATCCATGCATGCATTTACGGCGTACGACGAATTATGCACTACAATACAAAGAGAAAAACGAATAGAGAAATATAGAAGGTTGTGTAAGAAGAAGGGAGAAAGAAAAAAACAATTTCAACATCATATACGAATAGTGCCCGCCGTGGGTCGAACACGGGGCTTCAAGATATTGCAACTGTTGCGTTATAACCCTTGAATTGCAATCTCACACTCTACCACTGAGTTACGGGCACATTGATACCCAACGTGCAAAGTAAAATCATGGTCAAATTAGCGATTCAATACGAGAACGTTGATCAATTGCGATTGCGACTATGCTAATAGCTATGGGTACAGAGAGGAGTGAGCGATGATGATGATGGTGATGGTGACTATGACAGTTGACTATCAACAAAAAAAAATATGCAAGTACGTATAAGTAAAGCAGTAAAACGACACTACAACCGAAAGAAAAAAAGAAAAGGGAGGAGGGGTATCCTACTATGAATTACACAAACCAAAAAAGAAAACCAAGGTCCAATCCAATCTACCGATGATAATGCGCGCTGACCTTCTCAACACCAGCACCCTTACACGTCTTCCTCAACTCTTCCTCCTGCTCGTCCTCATCTTCCTCATCATCGTCCTCCTCATCGTCCTCCTCAGAATAATCCTCATCATCAGACCCCGAAGAGGATGACGACGATTCTGACGGTGGAGTCGTCGCCACAGGCTCTTTTTCGGCGACAACATTGGTCACGGGGGCAGGTGCCAATTCTTCAACAGCCTCGACGGGGCCGGTTTCAGGTGGAGTGATTTGGACTTGTAGGGAGCTCTTCCTCGAATGACTGTGATGATGATGTGGTCTCGGAGCGGGAACGTTGACAGCCCTCACGTGTTCTTCCTGCGAATCCGTCCTCGCCATCTGCTGTGTCGATGGTGGGGGAGGAGGAGACTGAGCCTGAGCCTGTGTCGGTGTAGAAGGATTCGAAGCGACAGAAGGACTCTTCGTATGCGTCGGTCTCTCCTGCGTCTCTGGCGAAGGCGTAGGAGTACTCTCCCCACCCCCAGTACCTTCCTCGCTCTCCTTCGCCTCCCTCTCAGCCCTCTCCCTAGCCTCCCTCTGTTCCTTCCTCCTCTTCACCCACGCCATCCCACCCCCATCATCCTCCCCCTCATCATCATCCCCTCCCGCAGCAAGCCTCCCCCAAACCTTCCCCCCAACCCCATCCTTCTGATGCTTAACACTGCCCATCCCTCCATACCCCCACTCCACAAAATCGGGTTCCTCCCGATCGTCCGATTTGATATTCGCAAAGTGGTTAGTCTGCGATGGAGGCCCCTTGCTGTTTCGCTTGGCACCGTACACTCTGCCGTTTAACATCTTGGTACCTGTCCTGCTGTTGTCACCGCCGTGCAGGGATGATAGGAGACCTGATGCACGGGCTTGTTCTGCTAGGCGTTTTGATTTCTACAACCGAGGGTTAGTAACGATTAACAGATGGAGGGGAGAGAAGGGGAGAGGGGCTCACCTTGTAACTCTGCGTACTCTGCGTCCTATACAGCGGCGTCCCAAACCCATACCCTTTACTAGGCGGCACAAACCGTTCGCTCTTTGACGAGCTACCCGACGTCCACCTCGACAATGCGTTGCTCAACCCAGATCCATCGGTGGATTGGGGTCGTTTCGAGCGCGAGGTAGGGGGTTCGCGGGACGAAGGGCGGAAGAGGCCACTGCCAAAGTTGAGTTGGAGGTTTGTCGATGTGGGTTTGTAGAACGCTGCGTTGGGGGATTGTTGCCCCGTGGTGGTGGTGGTGGTGGTGGGCGTGGCAATGATCGTCGTCGTTTCGTTCGACTGAGTGGGGGTCAATGTGTGGATGCTACTCGAGCTCGAGCTCGACGATGCGGAGGATAGAGTGTCGTAGCCTGGGTTTGGACTCGAATCGGGGGAAGATGCCGGTGATGATGAGGAGGATGAGGAAGAGGAAGAGTGGTGTGCCAAGGATTTGAATAACGACGTCAGCGAACGTCTCGAGCTCTTCTTCTGCGACGACGACTTTGAGTATGATGATGATGATGACGGCGGGGGGAGGGGAGAAACAGCGACGACGGGCGTCGGTGGGGCGCTCGTTACACCGATGATAGCCAGACTCAGCGACTCTGGTATACATGCCAGTGGGATGGGGATAGGGATCACGCTCGCCGCCGCTGCTTTTTCGTCGTATTCGTCCACTTCAAATTCCATTGGGAGCGGGTGTTCCTTGCCATCGTCGGTGAGAATGACAGAACGTCGGGGGTCGGGGAGAGGTGCAAAGCGGATTCGTTTCGAGTGTGTTGTTGTCGCTGCTGTCATTTGGGTTATGGGTTGGGAGAAAAAAATAAAGGGAGAGCAAGCAAACGGCTGGGTCATATAAGTATCAACTGATGTAATACACCCTGGATCTTAGATCAATTCGCGATGCGATCTCGCTCCATTGTCCTTTTTCAATGATACTCCTTTTGGTTATTTCTTGTTTTGGTAGTTGCTCTCTATAGTAATTGCCTCCTTCTCGATACACGCTTTTACCACATCCTCCTTCAACACGCTTTTGTTCTCGCTCCAGCCTCAACACTCAGACACCTCTTGCGTTCACACACGAGACAATCCGTTCTACCTCTCCCGCAAGCCATTTGAAAACCAAGCTATAATACCAACCACTTTCGACATATTTTTTTCCCTTCCCTCCCCCGCGTCCGTCCGCCCTGGGTACTGATACACCTTCCACCGCCACACTCTGCTCTCTCCTTTCATCAACAAGAAGAATGCTAATCATCGTAACTAGGTACCAGAGTTCGAATGTGGGTGTAGGTGGATCCTACGACAGACTCCAACCGTGCGTTCATTATGATTCTTGACTCTTTTTCGCTTTTCTCTATCCAACCCAAACCACTTCCCCTTACTGGATTACCAACCCATTCACCCACCCACCCCAACCGTTCGTTATTCCGCACACTCACTCTACGTATCCGCTCAACCCGCAACCCCATTACCGTTTTACCTTATAAACTACCACCACTACAGAACTTGTTGCCCGCGTCCGTCCGTCCACTCTTCTTCGACATTCAAATACATTATCGCCTTCTCCGTTCAAGTTTCAAGAATCTTACATTTCCTCTTCCCTTCCTTCCTTCATTATCGTAAGAACCGGGTGTCGATCCCATGGAAGTTTCAGGCATCTCCTCGTTCAAGATACAAACTTTTGCTCCGAACATCTTCCGTGGGTGTCGGTGGGTGCGTTTTTCCGAGCTTGGAGTCTAGTTTCCCCTCTCTCCCTCTCCCTCTCTCTTTCACCTTCCGACTTCGCACCCTCTTTCGTCATGCCCCGCACACCCATCCATTTTCAAAGTTTCAGTGCGCTTTGACCTTCGTGCGCGTCCGTCCGCCCAAAAAAAAAATGCGTTGTCCTCAGTCCTCAGTCTCAATCTGGAGATGATCGTGGCATATTCTTCGAGATTAATCCTCTGAGTCTCAGGAACAAACGACAAAAAATCGGGTGTAGGTGTATGTAGGTGCGTTCTCCGAGCGTTTTGTTCTCTTCCTCTTTCTCTCCCCCCTTTCTCGTACCCATCTGTTTATCATTCCTCGCGTGCGTTTTTTTCCCCTTCTTTTCATATTCCTTATTCCTTATCCCTTAATTTGTATTCCTTGGCATGCACTACACCATACCATACCACAGAGACGCATACGCACACCCATCCGTCAAAAAAAAAAAAACGCAACGTTGCATTTCACTATGCAACAGCGTCGCGTCTACGGTCTTCCCTCTCTCTCTCTCCCACTCGTCCGCGTCCGTCCGACTCGAGAATTGTGTTTTGCGTTAGGCTTCGGGTTCAATGTTCATTAACTCGCATGGATGGAACGACGGAGGTCAAACGTCAAACGCTAATCCCCTCGGTAGTTCGAGGACCCCAGGTGTTTGCGTTGATTGGGTTACGGGTACTGACTTTGATAACGTTCGACTACAGTACATGCAACGGAAGGCATGCAAGATCCGTCTCTCTGCGCCGTTCGTGCGCGTACCTCGATGGACGGAGCTTGGGGTTTCAAATTTCATGTGCAGTCGACGCGTATTTACGCATGTGGGCAGATACATACATACCAAAACGTCTAATGTCCAAGCGGTCATGGGGGGTCACGACTCTCGACTTTCCAAATGTCCAAGCGAGTCTCTCTACATATAGACATCAACATTCTACGGGGGTGGGGGGCCAGTTAACTCCGCAGTCGTCCTCTGATTGCGTCGCTGAATCCTCTGTTCCTTATAGTCCTGAGAGGCTAGGGCTCAAAGAACAAACTCTGCCAAGTAGCCTTGAATCTCTCGGGCCATGTAACCATCGAGCTTGGTTGAAGGCCCCCTCTCCCCCATCAGAAGGCTCAGTGGCTCTCTTTTCCCCCCACATTGTTGTAACTGTGCGGCTGCCTGTTTACTCATATACATTCAATACACCAACGCCTGATTCTCTGTCTAATTATACTCCACATTTCGAGTCCCGAATCCTTTCGAATTCCTTCTTTTCGACATTCAATTGCGTTCAAGTCATTACATTACATTTCCTCCATGGTGCCTTCCTTCATTACCGGGTGTCGATCCCCTTACATTTCTCGCCCTCCGAGCTATGGGTTACAGACACAACTTCCTCGGTCGCGTAGACCCATCAAGAATTTCAGTAGGATCTGAGCTTACTAAGTTACGCATCTGTTACATATCCCAAAAGCGGTCGTGTATACCATACATGTCCAGGCGAGTCTCTATTCTATGGTAGACACACACACGAGGGGGTTTCAGATCCGCAGTCCTAGTCCGCAGTCACTTGGCTCAATCTTCTGTCCCTTCTAAACGGTGATTAAGCCAAGTACAAGAAGTCTTACCCCTCGTTCCCCCCAGCATTGTTTTCTTCTACCCCCCCCTCCCCCCACCGCCTGTACTTACCAGACCAACGACGGCCTCCCGTGTGGCTTTTAGGAGCTCAGTGGCTCTCTTTCCCCGCATACCAACCGAAGTCTAATTACCCCACATTCCGAGTCCGAGAACCGAATGTGTTGTTTGCCACTGTGCATCATCATCATGATCCTCTTCTACCTCGGCTGGAGGTCAGCTGGTCAGACAAATCAGTAACCGAGCCGAGCGAGCTGTGAAGCTGTAAGCGACGACTAGTAACAGCCTAAGCTGTTGAAGTCGGTGGGCCCGATAAATTTGAATTTGAATTTATACC